CCCCCCCCACGGCGCGCGTTCATGGTGCGCATCCTGCTGAGCGTGCTGCAGTTCCGCGTGAACGCGCGGTACGTGGAGGCCGATCCGCCCTTCGTTTCCATCGAGCTGGACCACTCGGACTCGGGGCGGGAGGGCTGCGCGGTGTCCACGCTGACCATCACCTCGGAGCCCGGGGACTGGCGCGGCGCGGTGGGCGTGGCGGTGGCGGAGCTGCGCCGCCTGCAGCGCCACGGCGTCAGCCCCAGCGAGCTGGCACGCTACCGCACCGCCCTCCTGCGCGACAGCGAGCAGCTGGCTGAGGCGGCGCACAGCACGCCCAGCGCGGAGCACCTGGACTTTGTGATGGAGAGCCTGGCCCTGGGACACACCGTGCTGGGGCCGCGCGAGGCGCACGAGGCGCTGGTGGCCACCGCGGAGGGCATCTCCGCCGAGGAGGTCGGCGCGCTGGCGCGGTCTTTGCTGTCGTTCGCCAGCCACTTTGGCAACGAGGCTCAGGTTGGTGTGGTTGGGGGTTGTTTTTTTTTGGGGGGGGGTCCCGGGCGGGATGATCACTGCGGCAACAGAGACGCGGGCTCACGACGCATGCAGGAGCATGTGCAGGCAATCTCCTCGGTAATCCATGACCTCCACAGGCCCCCCCCCCTCCCTACCATACTCACCTGCCCCATCACACAATCTTGCAGCTGATGGAGGAGTACGCGGCCGATCCAGAGGCCTGGGCGGCGCCGGGCCCCAGCGTAGCCACGGCGGCCGTGGCCTGCCTGCCCGCCTTCACCGACGCCAGCGGGCACAGCTCGGGCGGGGGCGTGCCGCTGGCGCGCGGCGCCAGCCTGGCCACCACGCAGCACGTCGATCCGGCGGCGCTGCGCGCCACGGCGCCCGCCGCCGCGCTGGACGCGGCGCTGGACCCGAGCGCTGCCGACGGCGACGCCGACGACGAGGAGCCGCCGGAGGGCGCGGTGCGCTTCCGGCTGAGCGGCGAGGAGATTGCGGCGGCGCTGGCGGAGGCGGGGGGCGCCGACGTCGCGCCGCTGCCGGAGGTGGACGTGCCGGAGCACCTGGTGCCGGAGGACGTGCTGGCGGCGCTGCTGGAGGAGCGTCGACCCGCCTGGGTGGAGGTCCCCGGGGCCGGGTCTGCGCGCCCAGCCCCGCACCCGGCCTCAGGCGTGGTCCAGCGCCGCCTGTCCAACGGCGTCGCGCTGAACTACCGCGTGACGCCCAACGAGCCGCGCGCCGCGGCGCTGCGCGTGACGGCGGCGGGCGGACGCGCGCGCGAGCGCGCGGCCGTCGCCCCCGACGGCACCGGCGCGGTCACCGTCGGCGTGCGCGCGCTGAGCGAGTCCGGGACGGTGGGCGGCTGGGCGCGGGAGCAGGTGGAGCTGTTCTGCATCAGCAAGCTGATCAACTGCGTGCTGGAGGCGGACGAGGAGCACGTGGCGATGGACTTCCACCTGGCGGTGTCCGGCGGCGGCATCGCCGCCACCTTCCAGCTCCTGCACCTGTTCCTGGAGGCGCCGGCCTGGGAGGGCGCCGCCGCGGAGCGCGCCAAGCAGATGTACGCCAGCCACGCGCGCGCGCTGCCCAAGAGCCTGGAGCGCGCCACCGCGGACCGCATCATGACGGCCATGATGGGCGTGGACCGCCAGTTCCGGGACCCCACCCAGGAGGAGATCGCGGCGCTGAGCCTGGAGGGCATGCGCGCCGCGGTCAGCGCCCAGCTCCGCGCCGGCAACCTGGAGGTGTGCGTCGTCGGCGACTTCGACCCCGCCGAGCTGGAGGATGCGGCGCTCAAGTACCTGGGCACGGTGGCGCCCGGGGACGCGCGGGACGCGACCCCGGCGCCGGACCGCGCCTTTGCGCTGCTGGCGCCGCCCATGCGCCGCCGGCACAGCGTCTGGCACCTGCGCGACTCCGACGAGCGGGCGTGCGCCTTCATCGCGGGCGCGGCGCCGCCGCGCTGGGCGATCGCACAGGAGGGCGCGGCGAGCGCGGGGACGGTGGCGCCGCCCGCGCCGCCGCCGGCGCGCGGCTCCAGCCCCGCCGTCTGGGCCGAGCATAATGCGGTGCGCCGGCGCCACCCGCTCTACCCCTCCGTCACGCTGGGTGAGCTGGGAGTGGGGGTGGGGGGTGGGGGGGTGCACGGGCGTATGGGTGGGGCTCTTGCATGAATACCTTGCTGGCTGACGCAGGTTTGGCTCACCATTGGAGCGTCGGTACACTGCTCAGCGAGACATTCCTCCTCCGCTGCGATGCCACCACCCCGGGCCCAGCTCACCCCCTAACCTCCCACCCCACGCAAAACAAAACCAACAGCGCTGCTGACGGAGGTGGTGAACTCGCGCCTGTTCACCACGGTGCGCGACACGTTGGGCCTGACCTACGACGTCTCCTTCGAGCTGGCCGGCTTCGACCGCCTGCCCGCGGGCTGGTTCCACGTCGCCGTCACCTCCACCCCGGGCAAGATCGGGGAGGCAGCCATGGCCAGCCTGCGCGTGCTGCGCACGCTGCGCACCCAGCCCATCAGCGGGCGCGAGCTGCAGCGCGCGCAGCGCACGCTGGCCGCGCGGCACGAGACTGACCTCAAGGACAACGGCTACTGGCTGGGGCTGATGGCCAACCTGCAGGCCCCGGGCGTGCCCCTGAAGACCCTGGACTGTCTGCGCGACCTGCGCGCCATGTACGACACCGCCACCGTCGACGACCTGTACGACATGCACCAGAAGGCGAGCTTTGGTTGCATGGGATGGAGTGGGGGCATGGAGAGGAGTGAGAGGGTGAGGGGGGGTGGGAGGGCCAGGTAAACCTGTCTCCAAGCCTGGCCGGCCATTGCGCAGGGCGGCTCGAGCCAGGGCGGTGCCTCGCGGTACAGTGCCCATGCCGACGAGCGGCTCCAATCCCCCATCACACCTGTACAAGGTTCCAAACTCCTGCCACAAAACCCTCACCTTTACTTGATGCGTAACATCCCACAGTTCAACTTTGACGACGATGCCATCTTCTCCTGCATCGGGGTGAGCGGGCGGGAGGCCGGCGCGGTCAAGGATCACCCACTCCTGGCGGCGCTGCCGGCGCAGCGGGAGGACGGCGCGGGCGAGGCCGTGGTGGACGTCAAGGACGCGGACGCCTTCTTCTCGGCGGTCAAAGTGTTCATGCAGCAGATGGGGTCTGCCGGGCCGGGGGGCCCGCCCAAGCCCTGACGCGGCTGCGGGGCCGCGGCTGCGCTGATTTTCCGACCCCCTGTAAACTGCTGCGGCCCGTGTCGTTTGTCGGGAAGAGGGGCAGAGCGGAGGGGTCAGAGCCTTGGCTTGTCAGTGCGATACTTGTGTCGGGTTGCCAGGTGCACACTCAAGCTCTCACAGTATAAGAAGATGTCCTCTGTCTAGCAAAATACCAGAGGCATGCTCTTCCCAGGCAATCCGCTGGGCAGGGCAGGCTCGCAGGATGGCACCGGCCCCCTGGAGATGTGACTGTACTGCACAACACTGAGCGTAGGACCAGCCTTACAACAATCGGAGCGATGGCACGATATGGGATGGGTCAAGTCTGGGTGCGCAAAGGGGAGCATGAGGGGTGGTCGGTGCAGCGCGTCAAACGTTTTCGGGGGAGGGGGCGCGGGCAAGGGGCCCTCCGGTGGTCTGGAAGGTCTCCAGTGGCCGAGGCGGGATCCAGGCCATAGTAGCGCCGAATGGTAGGTCCAAGCCCAAGATTGCCCCGGGTTGCGGGTGCCGGCAGGGATGTAGGGTATCGCAGGGAACAGTTTTGGGGGGCGCGGAATGGGACTGCGGGGGTTGGCTGCGGGCAGCGCCCCGCATAGCATCGCCTGCCCATGGCCCCTCACATGGCCCCCCCCACGACCACCCTCTCTTCCACTGCCCTCTCAGCGCACGGTCAGACCGCGGAGGAGACAGTGTTGCGGTGCATGCCCGGGTACTGCGTTGGCGTGCCCGGCGCCTGCTGCGCGACAAAGGGGTTGCTGGGGTCCGCGCCGCCCGACACGGGGGTGTTCATGGAGGATCTAGGCGAGGCGGCGGCCGGCGCCTTGCCGTGTGCACGCACCGCGCCCGACAGGCTGGGCCCCGCGGCCACGGCCACCTCGGGGATGGGCACCGCCTCCACCTGCTTGCTGACGGAGGCCAGCGCGGCGCCCAGCGTGCCCTGCGCCGCGCCCAGGTGCACCTTGACGTAGGCCGCGTCGCGGATGAGCCCCACCAGCCGCGTGTGCAGCTCCTCCTCGAACTTGGCAAACTCCGCCAGCGCGGCGTTCAGTTTGTCAGTCTTGTGCTGCAGCGTGCGCACCACATCGTCCAGCCGCGCCTCCTGCTTGGCGTCGGTGGCGCGCTGGAGCTTGGCGCGCGCCGCCGCCTCCTTCACCGTCAGGTCGGCCACAGTGCGGCGCCGGGAGTCCACCTCCAGCCGCAGGTTCTCCAGCTCCCGGTTCTTGGACACCAGCGTGTCATACAGACTCAGCCACTGAGCCAGGGGGGCCACCACGTCGGCATCCACGCGCGCGCCCGCGTCGCGGATGGTGCGCACCACCGACTCGGTGTCCAGGGCGCCGCCGACCAGCACGCTGTGGCTGGCGCTGGGCGAGCTGGGGTCCTCGTACACATGCGGCAGGTTGCTGCCCAGCAGGCGGGCGATCAGGGTGACGCTGTTCTGCAGAGGGGTTCAGATGTGGAGGGGGGTGGGTGTGGGGTGTTGAGAGGGAGGGGATGTGCGAGGGGGGTGGGGGAAATTGGGACACCAACATGGGGACTGCTGGACGGGGGAGCTTGCTGACCAGGAGCCCATGGAACCCTGCTCCCTGGATTGGGGGCACGAGACACAGGCGAGCCTCGAGGGACACCTAGGCATACACTGACGATGTGCGACGTTCACTCGGCCCGGCCACCTCGATGAGTCGCCGTACCTCGTTGCTCTCGCGCTGCGCCTTGATGGCCTGCACGACCCCCTTGAGCTGCGCGGCCAGCTCGCCCGCCTCCTTCAGCATGATCGTATTCCTGCGGGAAAGGGGATGCACGGTCAGGAGGCTGAGCCCGGCGCTGTGCGGACTGCGCATTCGCACGCGTCGAGGGGGGGGGGGCAGCGAGGTGACCCTCGTGGCTGTGTGGAATGCCCCCTCCGCTGGCCCCCACCGGAGCCCGACACGCCCATTACCTTGCATTGGGCGTTGGGCTGAGACCGCCCGACACCAGTGGGGCGTGCTGCTTGAGACCCTCCGTGAATCGGCGCCAACCTGCCCCCATGGCAGCGGAATGCTGGGAGACAGAGGGAGGTAGGGGACCCGGGAAGCTACAATTGATATAACAGGGCAGCGAGCAATAATTCACACAGGACCGGCTGCTGGGCGCTGTCGAGTTCAGGGAGTCGAGGAGTCGATGTCGCTGTCCGTTGCGTGGGCAGCAGTAGGCAGCGCGGGAGCTACATCGTTGATTGCTGGGATGTTTCCCAAGGGCTGACGGCAGGAACAAGCAATCCAATACGTGACCCACTAGTATGTACTGACGGAGAACCAAATTTTACAGCAGAAGTATGTCATGGGCGAGGCATGTACTATGAAGCAGGACGGGATGCACTCCCAGTCTCATGCATGGCAGGGGTCATTCCACCTGCTGGGTCAGGGCACACAAGTGTCAGGGCAAAAGCTTTCGATCTGAAGGAAGGGCCTCACATGTCTTCCACAGCCTTCTTGAGAGGGGTCGGGTGGCGGAGGGGGTGCATTATTATGCCGGCGATTGGACCGCCGCCTGGTACCTCTAGGCGGGAATGTTGAGGGACAGACCCTTCACGCCCTGCGAGACATACTCCTCCTGCCCCGTGTGGCGCACCGCCTCCTCGGTGCCGCCGGGGATGCGGTCCAGCACCCTGGCACCCGCGGACTCGGGCGCAGCCTCGCGGCCCGAGTGCTCATGCCTCACCGGCCCCTCCACGCCAGGGATGTGGGACAGCGCCTGCGCCCCCGTGTGGTCGGGCGTGGTCACGTGGGAGCCGCCGGACAGCGCCTCGCACCCGTCGCCGTGCTGCTTGCCCTCGCCGAAGAAGCGCGGCGCGGCGCCGCCGGCCGCGTAGTTGCCGGCCGCGTAGCTGCCCTCGGTGCCCTCGCTGGTGCCGCCGACGGCGTAGCCGGAGGACTCGCCCGCCGACAGCCCACCCTCCTCGGTCAGGTGGCCCAGCGGCTCCACGCCGGCGCCGGCGGAGCGCGGCGTGTTGTCGTCGGCGGAACCCACCACGGCGGGTGCGGGCACGGTGCCGGCCACCGCCGGCGCCGGGGAGCTCTCCACGGCGGCGGCGGGGGGCGTGATGGGGACATCGCCCACAGAGCCTGACACCAGCTGGGCCAGATTGACCAGGCCCTCGCCCAGGATGCGCAGCGCGTTGGCCGCGTAGTTGCGCAGGTGCACCGTGTCCTGGATCAGGGCGGTGAGCTCAGCGTGCAGCGAGGCCTCAGCCTCGTTGAACCGCGCCGCCGTCGCGTTCAGCTTGTCGGTCTTGTGCTTGAGCAGGGCGGTGGCCTCCTCCAGCGCCGCCGTGTGCTTGGCGTCCTGGTTTCGCTGCACTGCGGCCTGCTTGGAGGCCTCCTTGACTGTCAGGTCAGCCACCGTGCGGCGGCGGGAGTCCACCTCCAGGCGCACCGCCTCCACCTCCTTCTTCTGCGCGTGCAGGCGGGTGAAGGCGTCCAGCCAGGCCTGCAGCGGCAGCAGCACCTCGTTCTGGACGGAGCTCAGCGTCGCCTGCTCTGCGCCGGTGATGCGCTCGATCTCCAGGTCGGCGGCGATGGGCGTGGCCTCGCTGCTGGGCACCAGCGTGGTCAGCGCCTCCGTCTTCACCAGGTGCCCGCCGGGGGTGGAGGGGGTGGAAGGGGAGCCGGGAGGTGAGGGAGGGGGGGCGTGCGCGATCTCGTGGTAAACGCGCGGGATGTTGGAGCGCAGCGCCTCCGTGGTGGTCTTCAGCAGGGACTGCGGGGGTGGGCAGTGTTGGGGGCTGGGTGGGTGAGGTGAACGGTGGGGTGATGAGGGTGTGGAGGGATGAAGTTCAAACGCGCGTGTGGACCACGAGAACCAGAAGCAGTAGAAAGGAGGCATGTATGAAGTGCTGCCGCAATCCCCTGATCATGAGCTGATGATCGTATGCGTGTTCACCCTGGGCATTCGGATGAGATCCTCGGATACATGCTTAGCCGGCACGCACGCACCTCGTGAGCGGCCGTCACGGCGTTGATCTTCGCGATAAGATGCTTCACGTGGGACTCGAAGCCGGCGGCCTCGTCCAGCATGGCCTTGTTCCTGTGTCGAGATTTGCAGCGGTTGGGATGAGCATGGCCGACTGGAACACGGAGGGGCGAAGGGCCGGTACCATCTGCCCGTCAAATCTCCAAAGCTTCCCATCTAACTTCCAAGCCTGACACATTGTCCCTGCACCGGTACACCATGCCTCGAACTCCCTTTTACCTGTCATTGGAGGTTGGGGAGAGGGTCGACCCGATGACGGTCGTCTGCTTGATCGTCTCGGTGAAGCGCCTCCAGCCGGTGCCCATGATGAAAGAGTTCTGACTCGAGTTGCTAGTGCGACGGTGACGGGTTTGTGCTCGAGAATTTGTGCTGCGATGACGGTGTATGAATGATGTGACAGAGTCCGCGCATAGAGTACGAACAATATGTCGGCGTCTGGAAGCAATTTCTTGATCTGTGCACACCTACCCTGAAGCTTCCCTACCAGTCGCTGTGTCCCCCCGGACGGGTTCCGCGCAGCTTCCTTGAGCCCATTCACCTTCCTATTGACCAGGAATTTGAATGTGCTGGACCCCTAACCTCTTGAAGTGACGGGTTCACGGTGCAGTTCTTGCAGTCAGAGTCATTTGCGTTTGTCTGTTCGATGGAGGTTGCCAGCGCGATCCGTCACTCTGTGGTGGGGCTGGACGCCCTCCTCTGCAGCATGGTCCGCCCGGACTCCAGGGTGCCGCGCGTCAGCGCTGCAGGGATGCAAGAATGCTGCCTGATGAGTGGTGGGTGCTTGATAGTTGCCTGCAATGGCCCAGTGAAGCATGCAGGGCAGGCGCATGTGGGTGCAGGGAAGGTCTTTGCTCCGCCTCACCACCGAGAACCCCATCACAAGCCAACCAACCTGTCAGCCGGGAGACGAAGCTTCCGCCCCGCGCGCTCAGCTCCTCCTTGGTGGTGCCGCCCGCGCTCGGCGAGCAGGCTGCGTCCTGCCGGCCGTCAGCATCGCCATTTGCTCGACCTGGCAGGGAGGATGAGGTTAGAGATGGGGATCAGGATGACACATCGCAGGTACAATGAGCATGCTGAGGTCGAGGCAAGTTGCTGCAATGACATGCTGCGGCAGCACGCAGGCGACCCTTGCATTGCCAGGACCGGGCGCGGTGCCCTGGGCCCTAGCTCCACAACACTGCATCTCCTCCCCCCCTTCCCTCCTCATCCCCGTGAACTCAGCAACAAAGAACACCCTCCCCACGCTCCCACCCACACCGCACACACCCGCCCTGCGCGTCTCCCGGGCGGCGAACTCGTGATCCACCTCCCGCTGGTTCCTCTCGCGGTAGCGCCGTATCCTGTCCATGGGCAGCCCGCCCACGCTCTCGAACGCGTCGTGCATGAGGCGGTCGCGGTCGTGCGCGTCGGCCGCCGCGTCGCGCATGGCGCGCAGCAGTGCCCCCGCGTCCTCGGCGGCCAGCAGCGCCGGCTCGGCGCCGCGCATCAGCGCCAGGGCCACGCGGAAGAGGACCTTGGGCCCCTCGCAGAGCAGCGCGTCCCAGACGCGGGCCGCCGCCTCGGCGGGCAGCGCGGTGCAGAAGAGGCAGAGGAACCAGTCGGTGGCCAGGATGGACATGTCGCAGCGCAGCGCCGCCAGGTGGTCGTGCAGGGCGGGCAGCTTCGTGGCCACCAGCGCGTGCAGGCTGCGCATCTCCACGTGCGTCCCGCTCAGGTCGCGCGCATACATGTCCTGGTACAGGATGCCTGTTGTGTTGTTGTTGTTGGGAGGGGCAGGGAGGGTGGTGAGTGGCCAGGGAAACGAGGGGTGGATGGTAGGGCACGGACGACACTGCACCGGATGCACCATTCGCTCCTTTCCTTCCCACCCCCCAAGGTACCAGCTCACCCTGCCTGCCGTCGATGAGGCTGGCCAGCACCCAGAAGGCCGCCTCCTGGTCGCACTCCAGGGCCAGCAGCAACAAAGCGGCGATGTAGTTCATGCCCTGGCAGTACCCCACCTCGGGTGAGTGCATGGCAAAGGCACAGAGCACGCGCGTCAGCGCCGCCTGACCCTGCTGCCCCTGCACCCAGCCGTTCTGGGGGAAGGTGCGCGGGGCGTCCAGCTCGATCTGGTGCACCCAGGGCGACTCGTGCCGCCCCAGCTCCGCCATGCCCGCGTAGTAGGAGGGGTGGCGCGCCGCGCGCCGCGCGCGGGCACCGCTCACCTCGCCCCACACCCAGGGGCGCAGGGAAGGCGGGACCCCGCGCCGGCACAGCCGCTTCAGCGCCTCGTCCGCTGGCAGGGGACCGCCGCGAGGGTGAGAGGCCCAGCTGGCCTCCACCTCGGCCGCGGCCTGGGTGCAGCGCGCCAGCGCGTCGATGTGGGCCTCCGTGAGGCTGATGGCGAAGCCGTAGACGTCGGAGGAGGTGACGCGCGGCTCGCCGGGAGAGGGGGCCAGCGTCGCATCGGTGAGCGACTCCACGGAACGCATGCGGCGGTGCACCTTGCGCGGCATGGCCAGCTGGGGGGGATATGTTTTATGGTGTGGGGGCCGTGTCGGGGGGGGGCCGGCGCGTCCCCGCGAAGCTATTGCCACTGTGAGCGCCTGGTTCCACCACATCCCTGGCCCCACAACGCGCAACACTGTACACTGTGAGGCAGTTGGTGGCCGAGATACATTCAAATCAGACCCAGGGCCGTGGCCCACTAACCGACACGTCGGACATGGTTCCCATGAACACGTATCACACAACCTTGCCACCCACCAGGCGTTTGCCGAGCCCCATGGTCGTGCCGCCGGGAGACTCAGGCTCCGCCATCATCATACCAGGAAAATGACTGCCTTCATTTCATCGCGACCTCCAGCGGGCGCAGACGAGCAGGGCATCGGGGCTGGGTGATACGCAGGAACGCGGTGGTGGTGTCTCGGGCCTCTCCCCTGCTGTGTTGGCACAGCGCCCACTCGTGGTGGGTAGATGCGTGATTCAGAAGGGCGGTTTCAGGATGAACTGTCCCCACCCCACCCACGCCAACCCCCGGAGGTCGGTCTGGGGACCTGCGGTGGTTGCGGGGGTTCACAGTGCGGTACCAGGCGCGAACCTCTTCCCGGGCGCGGTGAGGAGGTCCAACGCGTGGCAAGCCAGTCAACCAATAGACATCGCGCCGGGTGAATGCACCCTCAGCATCTCTACTCATCTTGAAGTTGCTCAGTCTACCTGTTGTGAGCGCGGGCGTGGCTGTGGAGCCTGGAGTCCCCGGAAGGCTTGTGCCCACGAGGATCCCCCCTGCTTAAACCCCCGCGCCCTCCTCGAACACCCGCCCGGCATGTTCAAGAAGCTGTTTGGGAACCCACGAAATGGCAGCGGTCCCACTGTTAGCACGACGACCACCACCAAGACGGTGGATGCCATCCAGAAACTGTCGGAGGTGCGGCATGGTGGTGCTGGGACCCCGCATGCCAGCCCGGCGCGGGCGCCCCCTGCGGGCATGGTTTGCCTGCAGGCTCGAGGCATCGAGGTACTTCTCCAGGATATCCCACGGATGAGGCTCCCCCGTCAGCTCCTCAATCAACACTCCCCCCACCCCACACCCACACCCAGACGGAGGACCTGCTGATCAAGCGGCAGGATGTGCTTGACCGCAAGATCGCCATGGAGCTGGAGCGCGCCAAGGAGATGACACGGGCCAAGAACAAGCGCGGCGCGCTCATGGCACTGAAGAAGAAGAAGATGTACGAGCAGCAGCTGGAGCAGCTGCTGAACCAGGTGCAGCGCATCGCAGAGCAGAAGTCGATGCTGGAGAACCAGCGCGCGGTGGTGGAGACGGTGGACGCGCTGCGGTCGGGGGCGACGGCCTCCAAGCATGTGATGACGGAGATGAAGATCGGGGACGTGGACAAGGTGCTGGACTCCATCAACGAGCAGACGGAGGACATGCGCGCCATCCAGGACGCGCTGGGGCAGCCCATCGGCGCCGCCGCCGACCTGGACGAGGACGAGCTGCTGGGCGAGCTGGAGGAGCTGGAGGCCTCCGAGCTGGACGACCAGCTGCTGCAGCCCGCGCCCGTGCCCACAACGCGCGTCCCGCAGGCCGCAGCGG